AGTTCTTCTTCTAGTTCTATTAATGTTTCGGGCGATCTTCCTGTTGTACGCAAACGGTCTTGATACCATGCGGCGGCCAATCCTCGAAAATTGGCTACGATGAGTGCAATGCAACGTTCTTGAGTTGCAGGGTCTTGTTGGGGATTCAGGTTCTTGGCCTTGAAAAACGTGTTGACTTGATGAATGTAGAGACTTATGCTTTCGTCCATTCTTCCGTGATACTTGGGCATTGTAAGGCCTTCTACTTTGACTTCTTGTGTTCGAGCAGCGCGTTCATTAGCTGCTTGAAGGGCTTGGACTTGCATGTTTTGTGTCTGCGCGACTGCTTCTATTATGCGCTCTTGGCGTTCGATTTGTTGGAGCAAGGTTTGAAGAATTTGTTCCATTTTCTAGACTACGTTTTTTGCTATTTGTTTTGATCTCTTTTTTTTCTCCCTTTTGGACTTCTTCTTCGGTTTCTCGCTCTCTTCCTTCTTCTTCCTTTTACGTTCTTCGGCCTTCTTTTTGCGAATTCCGCGGTATCTGTGGACTTGACAGTCGATTTGGCCAGTGATTAGTCCTTCGATGAATTCGTTCTTGTCGAGAGCCAGTTCCGTTACGTAATGCAAGCTGTTACGTGCGTCGGTGTCGTTGGCTTCAGGGATTAACTGACGGAGCCGAGTTATCACGATGCGCTGATGGGCAGTAAGCGTGTACAGATCTTCACGCAGCTTGCGCACTGGGTTTGCGTAATCAGACGGAAAGAACTCAGCGATGTCCGTGGTACAAGAGACTTCACGAACACGCGTTTTTTGCGAGTTATGAACCGATTATTCTAAGACTGCGTATGGATTCGGATCCTCAGCTGCAATGTCTACTCCTTACGACGATTGCGGAACAACTCCGGAGAGATTATATCCAGCCCAACCGATGGAGGAATTGCGTGATGCCAAGTTTCACGACCACACAACCGCTCAGAAAGACAGTCGAATTTAGGGACACCCAGGGACACAAGAAACCCAGAGACTTTG